GGGCTTCATCAACTACCTCTTTTATGGAGTCACTGTCGCCGGGCAGATCGTCCTCAGAATTAAACAGCCCAACATGCACCGGCCAATCAAGGTGCGTCCATTTGTTCTGGATTATTCTGTACTTCCACAAATGTTTTTTTTTTTTTTAAATAACAAATTAACATTACACAAGCATTGTAACCTATATAGTATTCCAGACTCATTAATTTGTGGTAGTTTAAAATGTGCTTCGGAAGTGCTTTGAAAGTAGAAAATATGTTTTAAAAATGGATGATAACGGAATAAGTTCCCACATAGATGAAAAAGTAACAGCGGTCAAAAGGAAAAATGCTGTAAATAGAAAACAGATCAGCTATAATTCAGACGACGGACCATTTAGATTGAAGCAATGCCTTCGTCACATCTGCTCAATAGTCTGAAACTTGGTCAGAATCAATCAATCAATCAAATGTATTTGTATGGCACATTTCAGCAACGAGGCAAGTTCAAAGTGCTTTACATCACACAAAGAAATAGTAGTAGGAGAACACAGGTTCAACGATTGTCAAGTGCAGTCGTTGCACCTCATAATGTTTCATTTAAAATGTTTCAAAAGCAGCTCAGTGTTTCAGCTGTTTTACAGTTTTCTGAAATTTGTTCCAGATTTGTGGTGCATAGAAGCAGAAACTAACCAAAACCTGTAGCCATAAAAATTAACGCTCAATGATTTAAAACAAGATGTGTATGTCTATAAAAAAAAAAAAAAACTATATTCATCCTGAGCTGAAAAATGTTTACAATTTTTTTTTTGACGGACTCAAAAAAAATTGCAAAAATAACTTGATAGGACATATGAAATCAATTTCTTGTAAAAAAAAATAATAATATTTGAACACACCTGTTACATTAGGATACAGTAGCATTTAGTATTTTCTGTGAATTGTAAAAATGTCTGCATTTTCCTCCCTTTAGATCAGCCTGATCTGGCCGGTCATTTACCTGCTCTTCTGGGCCTTCCTGCTCATCTTCTCGCTGTACTCGGAGCCCGTCGTGTGCGGCATCGGGCTCGCCATCATGCTCACCGGGGTTCCTGTCTACTTCCTGGGGGTCTACTGGGAGAACAAACCGCAGTGCTTTGACACCTTCGTTGGTAAGTGAGATCTTCACAAAGAAACTTTCTCTGTGACACCAGATGGGACTGAACTTCCCTGTTTCACGTCGGTTTGAGTCAACCAAATTATTTTTTATTTGCTAAATGGCAGAATGCTAGAAAAAAAAAATGTGGAAGCGTTTCGAGAATTTTTATTGCTTTCGTCAAATTCAATTTACAAAAATTGCTGTTTCAGAAGCCTACGGGTCCCATGTTATAATTCTGTTTTGTTTTTTTAAATTATGCGAACGATTTCCCAAAGATGAATGGGGTTTGGTGTGAAATGTGAAAATCAACCCGAGAACGATAATAAACTAAAGTAAAGATGCTGGTTAAAGCTGGGAAAAAAAAAAAACACATCTCGTTATTGACTGATTCCTAGATGAACTTAAAGAAGGAGCCATTACAGCCAAACAAGCTTCGAAATCCTTATTACAGTTTACTAATGCACTCAGGGACAAATATCTTATTTCTCTCTGCCTCTTCATCTTCTTCCTGCTCGTCTTCTTCCAGACAAAATGACGTACGTGGGCCAGAAGATGTGCGTGGTTGTTTATCCGGCCGAGACCGGCGGCGGCAGCGGAGGCGACGAGGAGGGCGAGGAGATGAAGGAGGCGAGGTCTCCCCTCTCCAGGGAGGACGGAGACAACCACAAAGCAGCAGACTGTTGAATCTGAGTTGTTGATTTTTTTTACTATTATTATTATTCCTACCTGGTCCCTTAAAAAAAAAAAATAAGAGAGAGAAAGAAAAATGCAGACAGACACGCCAACATGGGTTCGCTCTACAAGTGCAGACACAATTCGCAGTTTGTTTACTGATCCACACGTTTTCCTCCAAGTGTCTTTTTAATCAGCGATAATCTGCAACCAAATATCGACGCCTCAGCCGGGTGAGTCTGAGGTCCATCACAAGTGCAATAGAGACGGGTTAGCACCTTCTGGTTCCTCAGTTCTCAACATCGACACTTTTAGCCTTTTACATTGTTTTTATTGTTATTATTATTGTTATTATTTCCAGAGACTCTTACTGAACTGTGACGGACGTTTTTTCCTTTTGGTTTATCCTTTGTCACTCTTGTAAACCTTCGCTTCGCGTCATCACATCAAAACTGCGTTCTTGATTGTCGACGCGTACGAAAAATCCCGTTCAGATCATTTTGTGTTGTTTGATACTCGATTTATGGTTTGTTTTTAAAGTGAATCAATGATGTCTCTTTTTTAAAAATATTTGTTAATATCACTCTTAAAATTATTCTTATTGTCAAATCATCTTCAATATTTTCTACCACATTAACTTAATTACATTTTTTTTGTATTCTGTTTCTCTAACACTCATTTCACCTCGTTTTTATTCCTCCAACTGCAGATTTATATTGATTGTAAAGTCGATGTGGAATTGGTTGTTGTGGCGGCAAAAAGTGCACAAATTTTATCACCTGCCTTCGTCAGAATTACGGTATTGTGCGCTTTAGTGCGATTGTGGCTGTGTTTCGATAGATGTGGAAACATCGTCGTAGTTGTTTTTTTGTTTCCTTTCATCAAAATTTCTACGTAGAAGTGACACTAAGCAAATAAAGTATTTGTTTGCATGTTCCTGCGGAGAGAAGAAAGAAGTCATAATAAGTGCAAATCACTCTGAAAGTGTTTTTCATCGTTTACGTCTGTGTTTTAATTCCCTTCGATGCACAAATGAGAGCTTTACACGTGATTATTGTTTTTCCAGCTCAGTTAGCTACAGGAACCTTTTTGTGCAATATTCCCTCAGACACCAGGAAAAGTCAAAGCATTCTCGCCATCAATGATCTCCCATAGGTTCTCTGTTTATCCAGTATGCTGTATTATAAAGGAAACAACACGCAGAGGCTAATTATTCAGTTTTATTTTTGTTTTTTGTCTCAGGGTATCTCCACATACACTGCCAAAAGAAACATGTCTGAATTTAATCCAGTTTAATTATGCTCTGCGCCTTTGCTTGTAGATATTTATTTTTTAAAGATTTTTGATCCTACAAAGAGATGGAAAGTGCTAAAAGGAAATTAAAAAAAATGAGATGATAGAATCAAAACGTAGCGTATATCATTTGATCTTGTTAAACTGTGAGGGTCGCAGGGTGATTGGCCTCCTACAAGTACAATAGAGAGTATTTTCATTGTCCTGTATGGTTATTGTGCATTTACAGTATATGAAGACGTCACAGACTGTGTCACGATGTCCCTCAGTAATAAAAACCACTGATTAATGTTTGGACTGGTAATTTGAAGCTCATTTCTTTATGACTAGCCCACGTTGTTGTGGCAACCTTATTTGGTTCAAACCTGTCGCTTTGCTTCTTTGTTAATTTATACGCCTATTTTAACGGCTGCATATCAGTTTATTAATCTAAATTAATCTGTAGACTGATGGAGACAAAAAGAGTCGTACCTATTTTCAAATCTCATAATTTAATTTCATTCATAAACACATTTCCTTCACATGCACTGCAAAAACAGAAAATATTACCAGGCATTTTTGGTCCAGTTTCTAGAGCAAATATCTTGGTACATTTGGAATAAGACAAAACTAATTTACGAGTAACATTTCAGCACAATATATGAGCTTTTTTTTTTAAAGTAATTTTTATTTTTTGCAGTGTAGGCTGAATACCTAAAAAGTCGGGCATGAAACAATGGAGGTGGGGGAGAGCATTCTCTTTATGTTTTAAGTCTTGTTGTGTTTTGTTAACAGATTTGACTCCACACGTTTGCTCATGCAGACATGAGGCCTGAAAACATTCCTTGCTCAAAACCTCAAATGCTGCAACTTTACTTGTCGAGACAATCTAAACGGCGCAAGCTGCAACACAAAGACAAAACCTCGTTTCTGCTCACCTCTGAGTAATGTCGATCGTTGCTCCCTGATGAGCTGCAACCTTCGTTTCTTTGGAACTTAAAAGAGACGCGAAGTGTCAGCGTGGTCCGATAGTTGCCGATCTGTTGTTTCAAGTGCATACTACATAGCACTGTGACTGCAATGTTGTCGCTCCGTATACAAAGTTCTATAACTTCTGATGTCTCTTGTCATTTGCAGTCTGGCTACCATGCTGAAAAATGTCTCTCAAATATTCCGTCTTAAAATGTAAAATGTACATAACAGTGGTCAATGTTTGACAAGAATAAAAAATGTACACAAGCGGCTCCAGGTTTTGATGTCTTTAGTGTTCGATCGAGAGAGAGAGAGAGAGGTCTGCATGAGGTGGCCGATTTCCAAGTTCTAGTTTGAGGCTTTCACATCAGTACAGGTCACAAATTAAAGCGGACACAGTGAGCCAACATCAGAGTGTGACCTCAGGGATGGATGCACTTCTGGTCAAACATTCCCATAAAGACACTCTTAAACCTCATGGAAAACCTTCTCAGAACAACAGACTCAGCTGGGATTCCTCAGAAATGTGTTTTAGAAAAATATACAGGAAACATTCTGCTGTTCTGCTTTTTTCAGTCTACGTTCGGTGTTCTTGCTACCGACAGTAATTTCATTTTCATCTATTACTGTACCAATCTTGTTTATTTTCTTTGCTGTTTTGTTTGCTTTTTTTGACATGTATGGAAAGGTTAAAAGTACCAAAACGAACTAAACTGAAGTTGTTATAGCTGTGAAACGTGATCCCAACATCATACTAAACTCTACAGATTAAGAACAAAATGTGACCTTAAATTACTTGTGAAGGCTATTACCCCGTACTTTAAGCAATACAGCGTATTACACCTGACAGAAAATGGCTCAACAGCTTCTCACATCTCCGCTCCGTCTGACTGGACCTGGCTGATTCAGATCATCCGTTGTTTTCTCTGTAAATCCTCTGTTTTTAACACAGGACAGTAAAACACAAGGCCTTCACACAATCTGTTTTATTTCACAAAGTGATACGTTTGAAAGGACACTGAACACAAGCGGACGGTATTACAGGTGCCGACACAGCGATAAGAAAAGTAAACATACTTCATGAGTCGGAGCAAGTTCAAATTATCCATGAGCACGCAGGTGGGGAAAAAAAAAAAAAGCCATGAGGTTCATGATGGTCGCGCCGACTCTTGACCATCATGGTAATGTTCTTTACTTGCTCTTTTCTCCGTTATAGAGAGAAAAATGTGTGTTTTTGCTGAGTATTTTTTTTGTTCTGAAACAGAACAAGACAAAGCAAGCATTAAGATTGTCTGAAAGTGGAAACGGCCTGCCTGGCATTTCATTCGTTAAGCACTTAAAGACAAAAAAAAAAAAAAAAGCCAAACCAAAACCCAAAAATGGTCCCTGTGTAGTCTAGGGTTAGTCCTGTTATTAAAGCTATAGTCTTCTCACACTTACTCTGCTACATCAGTGCTTCCTAAGAGCTCGATCAAACCCCGTGCGATACTTTGTGACAATCTAACTCTACAAGGATTGACATCCCTTCTCTGGCTTTAAATTACAGTTGTCTCATTTATTTCAGGCGCAGCAAACATCCTCTGCTCCATTACAAACATTACTCGCACAGAGTGACAGAAAGACGATTGAATAGTGGTTTTTGTCCTTAATAGCTAATCAGTCAAGTGTTAATCCAAAGCTAAAGAATTGATCATCTGCGCACACGGCTTTGGCAACAAAACACACGAAAGGCTGTGAGGGAGTCGGAGACGGAAAGCAGAAACTGGTTCGACGACTCGGCCGGTGACTCCGTGGTGCCTTCAGTGTCACTAGGTGATTGTGCAACCGCTTCCAGTAGCGCTGTGGTTCTTGAAGGCGTCGTGTCAGTTTGAGCTTGTTGTTGAGCCGGAGGTTAAAACATGGAGCGGAGCGGGCGGCCTCCTCTGAGGGCGAGCACCAGGTGAAGGACGGAGCCGCCCTGGATCTTGTAGTCTGCGGCCGTTTTTTCGGCGTTTCTGAAAATAAAATTAAAAAAAAAAAAAAAAAAAAAACAGCATATATAAGAAATCCAGACAGTAGAAATACTTTTTATTAAACTAGTGGCGATAGATTTAAAATATTTCAAATTAATGTGTTCAGACTCTGTGGAGGAATCCAGCAAACTTTGTTTGATGTTTTCGTTTTGAGAGCAAAACGCTCCAATATTCTTTCTCCCACAAGGTTTCCCCCAGAAAACTTGATTGTGGCGCTCGGCAGTCATTCATCCAGCCGCCCGTCGGGTTTTTGAGTAAAAAAAAAATGTTGAAAGCCGACAGGAAATTTGAAACTATCACTTGATAATTATGTGTTATTGGAAGATTAACAGCTGAACACCAGCTATAAAGTCTTTGAAAAAATGCAAACATAAAAAAAAACTTAAATAAGCAAATGCTAAGCCTGGTGGCCCACCAGGCTTATAATACACTGTCGCAAAATCTACCCTCTTATTCTGATTATCGTGTTTTTATCCAATTCTGCCCTTCGCTTAAAGGGGGAGATGTTCTCAAAGGGGCTTTGTTTGTAGCTCTTCTTGTAGCTCCTCCAAAACTTTATAATTATTAAAATTTAATTTAATTAATTAAAATTAAAATGTAATTAATTAAATGAAGGAGGCATTCAAATCTAATTGTTAATACTTGAATTAATAACATAATTATTTGGTGCTGCTAATATAATGTGTGTCTCATTTCTGGGCGCACAATTATGCTAAATTATTTTGCTATTGACAATTACATGATTTAAACACACACAAAAAAAACATCTCACTATCAACTAAACAGATAAATAAAACTCTTTAAATGAAATTGTTGAGTTTGTAAATATATGGCAGCAATTTACTAAAATTACTGCTCACTGAGAGAAAAAAACAATCTTACATCTGTTTTCCACTGTAGATCAACCTCTGCTGTTGGGGAGGGATCCCCTCTTTCTCCTCCACCCTTTCTTTAATTCGCTCCACCTGCATTGGGATATATTGCAGTCAAACAGAGATGAGTGCTTGGAAACACATTTAAAAAATCAGTCGATTTAGGTCTGTTCAAAGTCCAAATGAAGATGTAAAATGCCATTATATACCTTATCTGTGGGCTCTATGTCAATCTCTATCTCCTTGCCAGTGAGAGTCTGTGATAAAAACACTTTAGAGTTAGAGATAAGCAGATTATGATTAAATACGATAACAATTAGCCACACATAAAAGTCATTGTTTCATGTTACTTACCTTCACTTTTATCAACATCTTTGTTGGATGATTTTTGGAATAAATATACACAGGTGTAATAATTTAACGAGCAGTCTGCTAACAGGATTTATTGTTTAACCTGCTGTGGCTGTAAATAAAAAATGATTTTTCAGCTTCTATGTCGGAGAATAATTGTTCTAGAAATCCAGTGGTTGTTTCCTGTGTTTTTTTTTATTAAATCCCCCGCCACCGCTTAGGAGAGCAACACTGTTCCGCTTCACTTACTATTCGTTTTATTTGTTTTATAATAAATACATCTACACAGCTGCAAAGCTATCTACATACATGTCGCTCGCAGTCACGTAAGTACCCTACAAAGAAAAGCAAAAATTAGATTTGTTATCTAACTGCCTTAAGATGCATTTACGACATCAGTGCAGCGGGACGTAAAGTAAAGCGACTGTCGCGTTTGTAGTTCTTACCCGGCTGTGGCCTTCGAGAGCACGACGTCTAAAAACTACAGCGCGGCAGAGCAGCCGGTGTCCGCCGCTGTAAAACCTCCCTGACAGCGGCGAGAGGAAGTGGGGAGGCGGTGCAGACGATTTTTATAACCTCCTTGTCTGACTTTTCTAACGGTAAACGCTTTCTTCTGCTAAATGTGTCGCATTTTGTTGTGTCATATCCACCCTGTTCTTATGCAACTGCTGTTTGTCCTAATAAAGTAGCGGGAGTTGTGCGGGTGCGCACTGATGTAACCTTGAATTTTGACAAGAGGTTGCCCTGTCTGCACGCTCTGACATGTGGAATCAGCTAGCATGCTTTAGATACATGTTACAAAGCTCTCTCTCTTTTTTTCCATAATGAAAACATGTTTATCTCATATTTTTAGAGTCCTTAAAACTTAAATCGGCTTTTCCGACCTTACTGTCAATATCTAAAGTTGAATGAGGGAGAAGATGGGTAGGAAATGAGAGAGAAGGCAATAAAAAAAAAAAAAAAAACGCGGCTCCGTCTTGATAGCTGATCTCTGTCTCTTTCAGAGTCTCCTGTCATTAATCGTTAGCCTACATCCCGTTTCTCCACCATGCCTCGCATTGAGAATGACATCAAGCTGGACTTCAAGGATGTTCTCCTCCGGCCCAAACGGAGCACGCTCAAGTCCAGGAGTGAGGTGGGTCAAGTCCAGCTGTGGACTCTGTGACACAGACCGAAACAAAGCAACACGTTGTGTGTGTTTGTATCTATTTGCACTCTGACACCCCTCAATGAAAGCCGTCAACTTTGAACAGCGTGCATGTTCCTGCAAAAGACAAACTTCCCCACAGCATGATGCCGCTGCCACCACCACCACGTTTTTACATATTATTCTGAGTGATGTTCACTATTATTTTTCCACCACAGATAGATTTTTTTGCCTATACAAGTTCAACACTAGTCTCATCTGACCAAAACGCCTTCATCTACGGGTTTGTAGTAAACTGCACAGGGGGATTCATTTGACAATTTTCTTTTTTACCAATCTCCCTTCTCTTCAGTGAAAAAGGATCAGATTTGTGGAGTGTGTGGCTAAAGTTTTGTTGTGTTCTCCTCTCTAGGTGGACCTGTTGAGGAGCTTCACGTTCAGGAACTCCAAGGGCAGCTACAGAGGGATTCCCATCATCGCCGCCAACATGGACACCGTGGGGACCTTCGAGATGGCCCAGGCTCTGCACGAGGTTCATTAATGTTTGAACACCGCGTCATATTTACCTTCTTCTGTGTTATTTACTGGTATAAAATCAGGTAGTTAAGAAAAATGTATCGAAGCTGTGTAGAAATAATTGGTTGTACTTTCCACTTTGAATAATGGATAATAGAAATAAGCTTCTGGGATGTCCTTTCCCCCCTTTAAATAAATAGACGTGAATTAAATGTTGTATTTTTTTCTTAATTGACTATTTTCATCTATATCTGTGTCCCCTAGTTCACTCTCTTCACTGCAATCCACAAACATTACTCTATAGATGATTGGTCAGAGTTTGCTGCGAAGCACCCTAAGTGCCTGGAGGTATTCAAGTTCTGCACTAAAACCCAACGTCAAATCCTAAGTGTGTATTTTTACTAATGTCTCAGATTGGATGCTTTGTTGTTGTTTTTTTTGTCCCTAGAGTGTTGCCGTCAGCACAGGGACCGGAGAAGGAGACTTTGAGAAGATCTCGGCCATCGTGGAGGCCGTGCCGCAGCTCAAGTACATCTGTGTAGACGTGGCCAACGGCTACTCCGAACACTTCGTTCACTTCGTCAAAGACGTCCGGGAGAAGTTTCCCTCACACACCATAATGGTCAGTAAACGTCCAGGAAAGAGCTTAAAACCAAAGTACGTTGGACTGTAAAATGGTCCAACGTTTTGGCAGAAAATAAAGCCTTTTTTTTTTTTTTTGTTATTTTTTGTTCAGGCAGGGAACGTAGTGACGGGAGAAATGGTGGAAGAGCTGATTCTTGCTGGAGCCGACATCATTAAAGTAGGCATCGGACCAGGTGATCATCCTCCTGATTTTCAGCGTTTCCAGGCTGAGTTAAACATTTCCAGAGTGTTATGTTTGCTTTTGTCACAGATCAGGAACTTCCTTAATCTCTCCTCTGGCTTTAACACATCATCTAAATTTATGCCTTTTGCAGACGTTTCAGGCTCTCTGTGTCTTCTCCCTCAGGCTCCGTGTGTACCACCCGTAAGAAGACGGGCGTCGGCTACCCGCAGCTCAGCGCTGTGATTGAATGTGCAGATGCAGCCCACGGCCTGGGTGGCCACATTATATCTGTGAGTCTCCTGGAACAAACGGTCACCAAATCAAAACTTCTCAACACAATGAATCAACACTATTAGGATTTCTTTGCCAGAAAAAAAAAGCATGCTATGTCCTTTAATTAGTTCTTCATACTGCCTAACAAGTGTCTTCACCTCTGTTAAAATGACTGGGGGTTTTTTGTATTGTAAAAAAAAATGGGATCATAAGAAGTTATTTTGAAACTTTTATCTGAAATATTCTGTTCAATTAGTTTGCCAAGAGGAATGCAAGACAGAAGCCTTTTGTTCCAATGAAAACTTTCCAGAAGCGGCTGAAATCTCCCTAAACCTTGTGGGAAAATGTTTCGTGGTCTCATGAAAATCACGCTGAACTTTTTGGTTTCATTTACAAAAGGTTGGCCTTGCACGAAACAAAGCTGGGTTGCTTTTCTTTGGTTTCAGAGCGGCCTAGCTAAAGTTCAGACTTAAATCTGGGAACAAATCAAGAAAATGCAAAACAGGTTTTCCTCTTAAAACTAAGCTAAAATTGTATATGCTCTGTCATAAAGGCAAAAATAAATATAAACATGACTATCAGTTGTTTATCTCTAAGCATCTTTCTAAGCTCTGTTAGAAATTGATCTCAAGGCATTTTGAGTTAAAGTTAGATGACGCATGTTGTTGCCAATCTGTCCTGCAGGATGGAGGATGTACCTGCCCAGGAGATGTGTCCAAGGCTTTTGGTAAGTTTCATTCTTTTAAAATGAAAGTAGTAAATAGAAATTCAGTAAATTTTGTTTATAGAGCACCTCTATATCTCAGAGCATAAAAATTGAAAGACGTTGAAAGATGCAAAAAGGTGTTTAAATAGTGCTGATGCCTGAAAACAAGTCTATTATTTATACAGCTCTGAAGGAAAAACTGGTTTCAATAATGATGGCATTGTCATGTCTACTCTTTGTCTAACTTTAATTTCTCCTTTGGGAGACTGATAAACATCCATTAACTGGATTTTTATTACAACTACGGTATTAATGTCTTCAGCTGCTTTTAAAATGAGTGAAGACTCAACACAAAGCGATTCCCGTCAATTTGAAATCATCTCACTGTTTCCTGCGGTTCTCTTCAGGCGCCGGAGCCGACTTTGTGATGCTGGGCGGGATGCTGGCTGGTCACTCCGAGAGCGGCGGCGAGATCATCGAGAAAAGCGGCAAGAAGTACAAGCTGTTTTATGGGATGAGCTCCGACACGGCGATGAAGAGGCACGCAGGAGGCGTAGCTGATTACAGGTGAGACTCTGTAAAAAAAAAAAAAACAGCAGCTTTGTTGTTTTTGAATCTGATTGTGTTTTTCGCAGTGACGGATTCATGCTTTGTGTTTTTTCTTTTTTTGTTTTTGTTTTTACGCCTGCAGAGCGTCAGAGGGGAAGACGGTGGAAGTTCCCTACAAAGGGCCGGTGGACGAGACGATACGAGACGTCCTGGGAGGCGTCCGCTCCACCTGCACCTACGTTGGAGCAGCTAAGCTGAAGGAGCTGAGCCGCAGGACGACCTTCATCCGGGTCACCCAGCAGCTCAACACCGTCTTCGGGAACAGCTAAACGTCTACCTCCGCCTTCTGATTCTGATTCCATTCCAGATTCCAGTGTTTTGTTTATAGAGAAACGCAACTGAGCTGATAGAAAGCACTTATAAAATACTGTCCTTCTTATGCCTGTTTTTAATCCAGATTGGCATTTTTAGAAAAGCTTTCCACATGTATCGATCCCTTTAGGCGTTGCAGGAGTCACACGCTTTACTAAAAAACTAGAGCTTTTATTCCTCAGCTTATCGTTCCAAAGCAAAAATCCTTCACTGTAGTTTATTTTATTTATGGAACATTCAGTTTTTTCCTGAACAGTGTTCTGCTGCAAGCCTTTGTCCCCAACGTAAGATTTCAAAGCAAATGTCTTAACGCCTATTTTAAAAGATTTTATATAATATGCAAATGTTTTAGCAATTTAAAAAAAAACTATTTTTAGAAGCTCTATCATTCCAGGACCCATGTATTGCACTTTAAAAAGACTTTTTTTGTATGTCGATTGTAATATTAGTGGACCAATAATGGAATATATTAAGACGGTGTTAAATTAGGAGCAGAGGTACCAATTAATACAAATATATTTCCAGTTCATCTACCAACATTTTTATTTATTATAGGCTTCATGATAAGTGATCGTTCTTCGGAATTAGTTTTCAAAGATTTTCGACATCACCTTTACACAGTTCATGTAATTATGATTATTTTTAAACTGTTTTCATCTTTTTCTCTGTTATACGTAACCATGGTGTTTAAAAGTTGTTGCCAAGTCCTTAAACCCGCCTGGTCTTTCTTTTACAGTGAGTCAATAAAACATTGCACGTTTCAGCATTTCTCTGGCTTTATTATTTACTGAAGCAGTTACATTGTCTTTAATGTACATTGTTTA